CTAGCACATTTCGTTATTCGCGTGCGAAAGTAGCACATTTCAGATTTTTCGCGTGGAAGAGTAGCACATTTCATTTCGCGTGGAAGACTAGCACATTTCAGATTTTTGCGTGGAAGACTAGCACATTTCGTTATTTGCGTGGAAGACTAGCACATTTCAGATTTTTGCGTGGAAGAGTAGCACATTTCGTTATTTGCGTGGAAGACTAGCACATTTCGATTTAGCGTGGAAGACTAGCACATTTCAGATTTTCGCTTGGAAGAGTAGCATATTTCAGATTGTTAAGCCGCGAAAACTGCACGTCTCCGGTTTAAAGTAAATCATAAAAGCATAATATATATTGAAAACTCAAACGTTTATTCTATATTTCTTTAATTGTATTATGAAAATCATGAAATTCAGACGGTATATACCGTTTACTAATCAGTTGTTGAATATCATCCACTTTTCTTTTTTTTAAAGGTATTTTTCCCTTGTAAGCTTTAGGCAATTCACAGTGTTTCATGGTTGACCATTGAACATTTTTTTTCATTAGGTTCAACTTCTCCTCGCTTTGCATAAAGTCGTATTTTACTGCCATGTCTACTTGATTTTTGCTATTTTTTATTGTAATTTTCCGTACATGTGATATCTTAATTTTTTGCCAATGTAAATATTTGGACAGTTCTTCGAAGGAAAATATTTCATTTGCGTTTGCGTTGTTGAAAATTTGTTGAGTTTTTTTAGTATTCTCCTGGGCTTTAAAATTGGGCCAATATGGATTTTTTTAAGAGAATTAACTTTATTTTAATTGAAGGTTTTTTAAGTAAATAAATAAACATAACATAAATAATATCACTTTGAAACGGGGTCCTCTTGATATGATACTGTATTCTTCCACGCAAAAATCTGAAATGTGCTAGTCTTCCACGCGATTAGTGAAATGTGCTAGTCTTCCACGCGAGAATCTGAAATGTGCTACTTTTCGACGCGAATAATGAAATGTGCTAGTCTTCGACGCGAATAGTGAAACGTGCTAGTCTTCCACGGTAATTTGAGATGTGCTACTCTTCGTTGGGAGCGACGATATATCCGCAAGAAATGTAATTTGTGGCAAGAGAGGATACAAAAAATAAGAGATTCTATTGGACTGCAGAAATTAGATATGGAAACTGCATATCTAATCGATGATTACTTTCTTAATACTTATTGAAGCTTTAATAACCGACCATCTGCTTCAAAATAATGTCGGTGTATTCCTAAACCCCTAAAAGTACTTTTTGTTCCTCGCCTCAAAAATACTTATGCATGTAAACGAATTCTTAGGTTTAGGGCGAGTACAGTGTTCTGCTGAATTTTCTATCAGATTTGGCTTAGTGTATGCCATTTCCTGCCTCTTGGCCATGCTATGCTTCTGATTAAGAGAAGCATTTCCGCTAATGGAATAATAGATTCCAGTGGCGGCAAACGAGCATGCGTACGCACTTAAGTGTTATGCCTGGTAAAATAGAAGAGCTCGTTGTTGCAAAAATCTGCTCTGAGTCGAACACAGTTTAAAACTTTGAATCTTTTGCACCAACGATGCTAAAATGCACGAAGGTGGCGCTAGCCGGCCAATGTCACAAAAAATTCCTTATACATACACAATGTTCAAAAATTTAGGTGTTACTCGTATTAATTATTGAATATAATTATTTATACAAACCTCCTGCATTATACTCGACCACAGTGCTTCACTTCCTGTTATGTACATACCACTTTATCACACATCCTCTATCCGCTTCCGTTTCTCTTTCACAGCATACCCTTCTTGGCTTACTTCTTTTATTTGTTATAATTTGACTGCGCAGCATTATCTTAATTTCGGTTCAACAATATTTTAGATCTATGACACATAATTTACACAAAATTTTAGATAAACCGATGTACATGCCACAACTTTATTTAGTTATCGCAAAACTAAAAATCAGCTGTTTTCTAGAGATGTGACTTGGGGCATTT